TCCATTTATCAAATTTATTCAGGGCCAAATAAGACTGCCTAAGCTTCCTTCTCAATGCTTGCCCAATTTCTCTGAGTTTGAGAAAAAGCTTTTGACTTGCAAATGCAATAGGACAATAGTTACCACTCTCGTCCTATCTGAGGTTAAACAGCAACCTACCGCCAAATTGGATGCATCACAATGGAATCTGAAATGGCTTTTCCTAATATTTGGTGTGGCCAGAGATGTCGCTTGGCACAAAGTATCCTTTAATTTGTTAAAAGCATTCTGTTCCAACTCCCCCCCCCCATAGAAACAATATTGGCATGCCTCTTCTTAGTAAACTCTGTCAGTGGTGCCGATATTTCTGCATAATTGGGAATATAAGATCGATAAAATCCCATCAGTCCTAAAACCGATCTCGCATCTTTTTTTGTGACTGGCCTGACAAGTTTTCTAATTGCTTTGACCCTTTCTTCATCAGTACCATGCTTGCCCCCTTCAATTGTATCCCCCAAATATTTGATTTTTTTAGCTGCAAAAGCACATTTGTCCAAATGTACAGAAAATCCTAATTTTTCTAATCTAAAGTGTCCAGAACCAGAGAAATGTGTTTCAAGTGTTCCTCAAATGTTTTTCGAGAAAAGATCACCACATCATCTATATATGCCTGAGCATAATCACTATGACTCTGCAAAGCACAATTCATTTTCCTTCTGGAATGTCCCCGCGAGGCTCCTGATAAGCCGAAAAGGCATTGTTCTCCACTGGTACACTCCATTACATATTGCAAATGCAGTCAAAGGTTTGCTCTTTTCATCCATTCGGATTTGCCAATACCCTTTTCGAAGGTCGATGCTTGTCAGCCAGTTGGCTGCACCCGCCACAAAAATCAATTCCTGCATATCTTTCGTGGAAAATGTTGGAGTTTTTGTCACAGCATTAATTGATCTAAAATCTATGCACATTCTAACTGTAGCATCGATTTTCGCCACTCAAATTATAGGATAAGCAATTTCTGACTCAGAAGGTTCAATTAATCCTAAGCAATTAAGAAGATAGCAACTCACGTATCTGCTCATCTACTGCTTTGCGGTATGCCATGGGTATTCCATAGCAGTGGGGTTTCTTTCCTAATAGCAGTAGGAATAAGTTCGATCTTGTGTGTACCTACTCGTGCTCTGGTTGCACTGGACGTGTAAATAATGTTTGATATTTCCTCAGTAGTTTGATATTCCCTAAAAGTTTACTCCTTTGGACTGAATCTAAATTAGACATTTCTAATTCTTCCAGAGATTCAGAAAATCTCTTTCCTACTTTTTTGACAGGTGTAGATTCAATTTCCCCAAACTCTTCTTCCCCCTCCAAGATAACATTTACTGCTTGGGATCTAACTACATAAGGTCTAATCTTATTCTGATGAACATGTCTTTTGGTTCCATCGGGCATTTGTACTACAAAAGAGTGAGAACTTCTCTGTTCCAATATATTTGCAGGACCCTGCCACCTAGCATAAATCAAGACTATCACCTTATCTCCCACCTTAAATGTTTTTATGGTAGACCTTAAATTATGATAGTGTGCTGTCCTCTCCTTGTTGAATTTTAGCTGTGAGCTTTGCCTGCTCCGCTACCTTCTCAAACCTAGCCTTTAGATTTTGTAAATATATAAACAGGAGTTGCATCTAATTGTAAATTTTCATGTTTCCCTGTCCATGATGATTTTAATATCGACAGAGGTCCCTGAGGTGTCCTGCCGTACATGAGTTGAAATGGAGCCACCCTAGTTGTTGAGTTGGGTACTTCTCTATAGGACCACAATACATAGAAATTTGTAAATGCCACCCTCTACCTTCTCCTCTGATGACATGATGCAACATTCTTTTTAAAGTACCATTAAACCGTTCAACTAATCCATTAGCTTGAGGATATCCAGGGGTCGAAAACTTAGGACTGGCCCCTATTCGTCTCTCAAATTCTTGAGTCAAATCTGCTTTAAAATTTGTTCCCATTGTCACATGCAATTACATTTGGAATACCCGTTCTTGAAAAAATATGTAATAACTCCTCACAAGTCGATTTGGCGGAGAGGCTAGTTAGAGGTATTGCTTCTGTCCATCTGGTATGCTGATCAACTAAGCATAATATATACTTATGACCCTTAGAACTGGGAGGATCAATCGGACCTATCACATCAATGTTTACAATTTGGAAGGGCAGATCTGGCCTCGTTACTGGGGTAATTGGTGTCCTATCAATAGTTTTAATTGGTCTAGTCAACTGGCACTCTTTACATGCCTCGCAAAATTTCTGAAAGTCTAACCTCAGACCTTCCCAATAAAAAGAGTATCTAATTCTCTCCACAGTTTCTTTACCCCCATGTGGCCACTAAACACCGAGCAATGTGCTAACTGCAAGACTTCCTCCCTTCGCCTCTTAGGTACAACTAGTAATTGCCCCACACTTTCCCAAGAATTTTGTCCTTATGAAAGAGAAAGTTATCCACTGTATAATAATTCCCCTTTCCTATCTGAGCATTCTCCCATGCTCCTACCAGAGATTCACAAGTCTCCTGCTCTCTTCTAAATACATCCGCTGTACATAGTCTTCCTGGCTGAGGTTCTTGGCTTTCACTTGATTCCACCTTCCCTTTCTCATTGAGATTCCTTCCCATACTAGTAGTTTCCTTCTAGTTTCCCCATGTGTTTACCTTCACAGACTTTTCCTTTCTCCTAACCTCTGGGATGTTTGTGGTTTCTTCAGGTAAGTTTTCCACCCCTTCACCTGTGTCATATAACCGACCTCCTAACATGGTGAATACTTCCGGAGGAAGCAACACATCCTCTGCCAGCGATTCTGCAACTGCACACAAAATCTCTTGATGTGTAACATTGGCACTTTCTCCTACAGTAATACTCAGTGGAATGCTTACCAAAGGGCATTTAACAGCTGGAACCAAATATACCTTTCAAATATATACTCGATCCTTCCTTCAGTTGGAGACTTTTGGTTAAACTCTTTCTTAACCACCGTAATTTCTGTTCCTGAATCAACGAGGGCCTTCCCTATTGTTCCATTCACACTAATAGGAACCCTTTTCAACTCACACAGCTTATAGTCGTTTACATCCCCTGACTTCCTCAAAGGATCCACACGAGCTACCACAACTTTGTGCCTCTAGGATATCATTATCCTTGATCTTTCTTTACCCAGTTTACCCTGGCTTTATCCTTTTCCTCATTTCTGTTATATTGCCTAGAACCTTTAATCTGAGGACAGTGCCTTTTAAAATGTGAAGCTGAACCTGAGGACAGTGCCTTTTAAACATACAAAACATGTTAAACCTTTAACTTTCCGTGTGGTTTTTCCTATGGTTTCTGACGTATGCCGACTGCCTCGTCTTTCTTCGACCTTAGGTTTCTCACCTACTGCCTGATTTAAAATCTTAGTTTCACAAGCTTCCCTACGTACGTTGTAGGACTTCCCTTTAGCGGCAAAGAATATGTCACACTCCTTTCCAAGCTCTCTTGGCTTGAACCATGAGTCTCCCTGCCTTATACCTAAGTGTACTGCAGTTTCCGTATCAAGGGTCTGGTAGATTTTGTCCGTTACCACCAACTGATTAAGAACTTCAAAGTCTGTCAACCCCCTTGATTTCACATAATTTTCCCACATGGCAGTAACTCTAGTAGAAAACTGGCCAAAGGTCTCTTCCGAACTTCGTCTTGCCTTTCTGAAATTCTCCAGGCATACCTGAGGTGAAGGTAGAAATTCTTTCAACACAGTTTCCTTTATTTCCTCATAATTCTATACTTATCCTCGCTTATCAATGTTAATAAACTTGCCGCTTTATCTCCCAAAAGTTAAATCAAAATTTTGGCCTTATACTCATCAGGGACACTTTCATTGACATAAGCTCTTTCTAAACTGGGGAAGAAATAGTCCCAGCCATCTGCTTTACTTGGAACCTTTACTGTCAATAATCTGATTGTTCTCGTTAACACTTCTACTGATCTTTCCTTCCCATTCTTCCCCCGTTCGGGTGTAGTACTCCTATTCGAGTAACGATCCTGGCAATCTACCTTATACTTCTCAATGGCAATCCGCTCCTCTGCCTCTAAATTTAGTTTATATTCCCTTTCTTGCCTTTCCTCCTTTGCCTCCCTATCTGTAATGATAACACTCAGAAGATCCTTTGCTACCTGCTCCTCATAGCTTTCACTAGCAAGAATCTTTTCCCTCAAGTCCAAAATCCTAAATGTAGGCAACACTTCAACACCAAACTCTTATGCAAGGGCGACTAGATCAGCCTTTCTAGATTTGGCCAAAAATGACATTATGCGACTTTATGTTCAACTTAAATTAAAATAACAGAAAATTAAAACTATATCTCCTTACATAAAATTATACATCAAGTTAAATCCTTAGCTTCTGTTGAATCATAAACACATAGTATCTGCATTAAATATGCACAACATCCAAATACTCAATAAATAAAAAAAACATGTATGTTTATATATAAGCATTTAAAAATTAATGCAATCATATCTCATAAATAAAACACAAGCATTACTTAAATTAATGATCATTCACTCATATAATAAAAGATAAATGAACTTGCAAGGTAATTCAAGTCTCATATGATAATCACACTGATAATATTTGTCTTATAAAATACTTGTTAAAGTGTACCTCTACATTAACAGCAAATTTTTCATAAACACAAAAACATAAATAAATCACTTAACGAAAGAACCTGGTAGAAGATAACTATTCCAATTAATAAGCTTCGCAACATTCGTAAGGAATTCACTTGAGCTTTTTCCGAGTCGACAAATATACATCCCACCGCTCCCACCACTGTCATGGATCGATCCTTTGATCAATTCATCTTTGTCGGTTCGTTTTCCATCCACTTATGAATGTTATTAGTCAACTCTATTTGCAGGAAATAAACTGGGACACTTATGCAGGTTTAATAATAACATAAGCTATATTTTAATTTTGTAAATACACATTAACTTTTCACAAAGTATTGCTTTTATTCACATTTACATCAAACGCCCAAGTAATACAATGCATCTCTCCGTTCTTAACAAAAAAAACAAGACCAACTCTACTCTCGGAATACAGCCAAACTAATTTCAAATTTTTTCTCACGAGCATGCCGTCCTTCTCACATCAAGCACGTTTCTTCTTCTCGTTGCCAGATATTTTCCCCTCTCCTTTCAGATAAACTGTTTTTTTCACACGAGCATGCCGTCCTTCTCGCATCAAGCACGCTTCTTCTTCTCGTTGCCAGAGTTTCTCCTCTCTCCTTTCAGCTATAAGTCGTTGGTTTAACTGTTCTTCCGGCAGGCTTGGTCGGTAGCATCCTCTTACCGAGTATATGCATGACAAACTGTTTGCTAAAAAGAATTATAATGAACATTTAGTGTTTGTTTTTAATTACTCATCGACAAACTTGTAATTCATATAGAACGTAAACGCTGTATAAAAGTAATTATCCACACTAACTGGAATCATCCCCGTCTGAAGGTTCCGGCGTGGTATGATTCCAGTTATGGATATCTTTTACCTGTAAATGATTCCTGAAATACTTGTAAATAATTATACCTGTAAAGGATCCCTAATGCATAATTACTCTTGAAAAATAGTGAAATTTTATATTTTCTTTAATTGGCGTTTGTTTTAGGAAAGATTATCTATTTAAAATATATTCTTATTTATGCAAAATAAATATACACAAGTGCTATCTTTCCATATATTTTGACTCCAGACTTGTATATTTAATAATAATAATTAAGTAGATAATTAAAGTAGATAAATCATGCTTTAAACTAAATTCGAATCTAATACTTATAAAATCAGATGCTAGGCTTGTGTCTTTAGTGGCTAATAATGAGAATAAAAAAACCACTATAGTGATATAAATATCATAACTAAAATATTATCAGAGTTGTTATTCATTGCAGCCTCTTCATCGTACAGCGCAAAGCAGCATTATATTAAGTACATACTAGAAATTCAAAATTTAATAATGTATCAAGTTTTGATGGCGAGGAAAATAATGACAATAATTTCAATATTCTTTGATTTAATAAAATAATACTTTTTTTATCCTCCCTTTCTTCGTATGTTGAGCATTGAAATCTTTTCACTGGCACAAGGCCCACTGCGATATTTCCACAGCGGAAGAAATTCTGGAATAAAACTTAGATTTATTTAAGTACAGCGCACTTAGTAAGTCTCATCTTCCTTTTATCAACACAAAAGCTTGCTTAAGGGATACATCATAAATTTTCTTGCAACAATGATTTATGGTATCTTAAACATAAAGCAATTTATCAATTACACCAAATTTCAACAAACTCTCATTGATGAAACTTTACGCCTTCAAGTAATTTTTAAAGGCGATTTATTTTATTTCAGCCCCTACCGTATACATTAAATTTTACGTTGCATGAATATTTTAGCTCTTTTCTATAAAGTTTCTTCAGTATCTTGATTTATTCTACTTGCCCTTCTTTTGTGGTTAATATTGCTCAAACATTAAGTACTACTTATTTATCCCGAGCTTAGATGTATGTTATTTAGATTCTACTGGGTAGAATCATTGCAAAGGGATATTTTGGACATTATTTTGTGTAAGTACCAATGGGATTCTCTAAAGTAAGTAATTCGTTTTGTTGACTATATTTGATGCTTCAAATAAAAGCTTATAATTGTCTAGTACACTTTTTATATTCTTCATTACCAAGCAAAATGTTTTATTTTTAGATAACATACATCCTAAACGGCTTCATTAATACGAATAACGAAGACATATTTTGTATTTTTATTTACCTATTTGTGTCCTTTGATGTTTTTAAAAATGAACTTTTAAATTATAGTCGAAGAATTCTGATCGACTGATTAAGTGTATTGAACGAGTTATAAATAATAATTATGGCATACTATTTAACCTTGAGAATTTTCTTTCTATGTGCATATAATTAAAATAAATTATCCATTTGTTTACTTTTTTCTGTCAACCCAGCCTTACGTGATATTAAACTCACGAGAATTCATATTTCAATCGTTTATTCTGGTCATGAATATTTTGTGAAATATGTATTGGGATATTCGTCGCAGACTTTACCTCTTATTTCACTTAAATATATTTGTGTTAATTATAACTTTCTTTTGATAAGTAATACTGTAATTTCGCATTATTAAGAGAATGCACATTTAGATTCGCAGCTGAATTTCATTTTAAACTTTCCTTATAAAAATTTCCAATAATTCATGGAAGAGAAAACAGGCCACGTGTAAAAACAGATTACTGGGCTTAAAATCCTTTGCTTAAAAGCTTAAAGTTTAGTGCTCCTTAAAACTATTTTCTGTATTACGCAAATCGTTTAATAGTGGTTAAATTCTAATCGAACTCCTAAATTTCTTCTTTTTATAAATTTGAAGCCCCGATGAAATAAAAATACGAGTCTCAGCTGCTTTCATTCCACATATTTTCTCATAAAAAGAAATTTCTTTGAAGTTTGTTTGCTGTGCACTTTCTCCAAAATTCTTCTCTGCGGTACGTCAATGTAAATTTTACATTCCGAATTTCACGCACGCAGGCCTGGAGCTCAAGCAAGCGTATAATTTCTGATCAAGCAACACTCTATTCTACCCCTTCTACCCTAATAACCCATCGCATCCACACCTTAGCGAGAGAAGCAACGCAGACTCCCAATGCCTTCTTAATGGATCCACTCCCTTCCCCTAGTGGCAGAAGCAGCGGAGCACACAGGCGCAAATGGTGGAATCAAAGCGTCGTTAAGACCCTAATCTAATCACTCGGAAAATCCTGAGGCTAAATTAAAACCACCCTACAGAGGAGCAACGTGAAGAAAAATATGCTTATAAAGCATGATTGGAGATTAATGTCCTGAAAACTTAAACTCGAATTGCCCTGCGTAACGACTGGGTGGTCCGTAATCTTTCGGAATTTCTGTGATTCCCTACAACACTCCTAAACCCCAGAATAACTTTCAATTAGCATCAAATGCTTATCTAAAAATATTCTGGGACTTATTATTTTTTATTGCATTGCAAGAACCTGCATCGTCGAGAGTAAATGTGAATGATAAAAATAAATCCCCAGACTAAGGGCTTTTGGGATCCTTTACATCAGTAATAGTTTAAATCTTAAAGTTTATTTTCACTCGAATAAGAGTCATGTCTATGCACATTGTTTAAAAAATTCAAGCAGTGGTTATACGAGATAGATAAGTAAATGTTACTTTGCTGAAAACTTTACCCATATCAAATTAGTAGTGTAATAGATGTTAACGATTTAACTTGAAATAAAGAAATATATTCTATTCTTTTCTTTGTATACTACAGACGGCTTTATTAAAAATATCTCGGCCCAACTAATCCTCCCCCAACATTGAAAAAAGGTTTAGTGGTCGTAACTTCTATATGTTAATAAAACACTATATTATTCTAAACATATTGTTTACTATAAAAGCACTGCTTAATAGCCTTAGTTTAATTGAATACTCTATTCGTCAGAGTTAAGGATATTTTCTTGCATTTCTCCTAAATGTATAGGCTTGAATGTGGGAATAATATGCTACATAATTCTCACTAGGCCTAATCTGTTACGAAATTAATTTCGAGTAGTTGTTACAGGTCAAAGTGAAAGGCCTTTTTTCCCTGAAAGCAAACCCATCATATTCTTTTACTAGCAACATTGATGAGTCTTGTTTCAACTGAAGGAAATTACAAGCAAGAGAAATAAAGCATTCAAGAGTGCATGATGTTATATCATATACTGACCAATGTACTGTAATACAGATGCTAGTGTACTATAATAAATATTTATTTTTATTATAAAGTATATATTTCTTTCAGTATATCTATGTTGCTAACATTAAGAACTTAACAAAATCGATTAAACATTTAGCATTACAGTAATGTTAATAAATGCATTCAGTGCAATCTTGGCACTAAGGAAATGAAAAGAAATTTGTGTAATTTAGTTGATTACGGCAAAGCACACTAGAGCTATCTGCCTAAGGGGAGGGATGCCTTCGTGGAAGACGTTCTAAGGGAAAGTGGCTCGTATACACGTTACACATGAGGAAAACCACGAAAACGCCCATGCAGCAAACCCGTTCACCTGGAATCGAACCCAGGTCAGAACTATCGGTGTTTGGCAATTTTACCGTTAGGGGTCGAAAAGGGGTTGAGTAAAAATAACATCTCAGTCATTTTTAGTTTTTTCCTCCATGATTTAAAAACTATGTAAAATCAAAAGCCTTTTGAGCGTGCATTTGGTTAAACGCATATAGCGCATAATATTCCTTACTTTAATTCCATATTTCTTCAATTTTACATTTAAAATTACTCATTTTATAAGATCTAAATTATGAATTTATTTCAATAACATCCTTGGATTTCCTTTTAGCATAGCCCACCAGCCGCAGAGCGGTAAAGTAGGTGAACACTGAGAGTTCAGTCCAGGATTCGAATCCCAGCAGGGGTAGGCTGGCTGCATGGATCTTTTCATGAGGCACATGGGGGCACACGTTTCAGGGGGCACATGCCTCCATGTACAACGTGTATACTAGCCAGTTTCCTTCAGAAAGTCCTCGACGAAGGCGTCCCTCCTCTTAGACAGATAGCCCTAGCGTGCTTTGCCATAATCAGTAAACTAACCCAAGCCAAAACCTTTTACCATATATGAGGACCATTCTCTTTCAAGTCACCTATTCCAGTTTGTAAAGTTTCATATTACTAGACCAGATACGGTCGTGTTGATTTTTGATATCATTTTATTTACCTGCCCCCGAAGAAATCAGTTTTTAATGTATTCATAGAGGATTATATCGACTAATTTAAATTTTCTCCTATCTGATGTATATAAATTTATCACAGTATCTCTTAATTGTCGCAGATTTTTACAGTGAGAAGGTATGGATGTGTATTTGCTAAAACTGAAGATCAATTAACATAGAATATCCCCATTTACCTATCAGCCTTGAAAACATCTGATTATATTTCAGAGATCTTCTTTAAAGCCAGAATATGCTCACGAATAAATGAACAGCGGTAAATAAATGTATTCATGTAAGTGCATATGCATATGGGTTATTAAATAAAAGTGTGCATATATAAAATACTGAATAGTGCATTCTACTACTTAATTCCCCTATCAGCTTTAGAATGAACAGGAAACAACACGCAATTTTTTAAAAATTAAGCACTGAAGTTTCTTTTGTATATTAGATTAGGTGTTTAATCGTGAAATAAATCTTATTTACATTTTATTGAAATAAATTAGTCTTCCAGGAAATTTTCAAGAAACGGGCCAACAGAGTTAATATATAAAAAGCAAAAGCACTTTAATGGCATCTTAAAA